GGACGTGACTTTATTCTTTTCTTCCCTGCAGATTGTCAATTCTCCTAAACTATTTCGGACTGGCTCTCAACCTGCAGCACTTGGGGAGCAATATTTTCCTGTTCCAGGTTCTCTTTGGAACTGCCAGCCTGACAGCCAGATACGTTGCCCTTTTGACACTGAATTATGTGGGCCGTCGACTCAGCCAGATATTGTTTATGTTCACGATGGGACTTTCCATTATAGTCACTATATTTGTGCCCCAAGGTGAGCAAGACGAGCATTTGGGTTCAAAAAAAAAGGCTACTCCTCAGTTCCTTTTGTTGTGAGGTGCCTCTGAATCTGTCCCAATGTCTAGTGTCCCTAACCCAACAGAACAGAACATGGCCCGGCTCTGCCGCAGCCTCACAATTGTTCTTATGGTTGAGCCCACCATTACAGCCGCGGCGTCAACCGTCTGGTCGAGGCCCTTCCTCTTTGTCGCCGCCCCTCCCCTTTACCAGACATGAGGTCCTTCTCCAGGGACTGGGCTCTCCTGACAACACGTCCACAGTACACGATACGGCGTCTCAGCATCCTTGCCGCTCAGGAGCATTCTGGTTGTACGTCTTCCAAGACAGATTTGTTTCATCGGCACCCTAATTCAAAAGCATCCATTTTTCTTTGGTCTTCCTTATTCGATGTCCAATTTTCACATGCATGTGAGGCGTTTGAAAATACCAGGGCTTAGGGCAGTGGTCAAAGTAACATCCTTGCTTTCAACACTTGAAAGTGGTCTTTTACAGCAGATTTACCCAATGCCGTGTGTCATTTGATTTCTTGACTACTGCTTCTTTGAGCATTTATGGTGGCTCTAAGCAAGACAAAATCCTTGATAACGCCAATCTTTTCTCCATTAACCATGATGCTACCTATTGGTCAAGTCGTGCAGCTTTTGTTTTCTTTACATTGAGGTGTCATCCACTCTGGGAGCTGCGATCCTTGATCTTCATCAGCAAGTGCTTCAAGTTCTCCCCTCTTCAACAAGACCGTGTCACCCGCGTAGCACAGGTTGTTAATAACTTTTCTTCCCATCCTGATGCTGCATTTTCCTTCACATAAACCAGCCTCTTTATTCTTCAATGATTTGCAAGAGCTCGAGCAAGTATGATGAGAGGATCCAGCCTTAAGGCACACCTTTCCTTATTTTAAGCCCCTGTTCTGTTTCCACAGCTCCCTCTGGATCCAGGTACACGAACACAGTGAAGCGTTCTGGAATCCCCATTCTCCTCAGGCCTATCCCGAGTTGGTTGTGGTCCATGCGGCAGAATACCTTGGCATTGCCAATAAGACACAAGTAAACCTTTTTCTGGTATTCTCTGCTTCCAACCAAGATACAGCTGACATCAGCAATGAGAGCCTTTGTCCTATGTCCTCTTCTGAATCCAGCCTGTAGCTGGTGTTGAATGCTCTTCAGCTGTGATACCAATTATATGGTTCAATTGTTTGTGCCTTCTGTTGGATCACCTTTTTTTGGAACGGGTACAGCTATATATCTCTTCCAGACAGTTGGTAGAGTAGCTGGCTTCCAAATTTCCTAGCATAGATGAGTATTCCTAGTGTTTCATAAGCTTGTTGAAGCATTTCTATTGGTATTCCACCAATTCCTGGAGCCTTGTTTCTGGTTAATGCTTTCAGTGCAGCTTGAACTTCTTCTTTAAGTACAACTGGTTCTTACTCATATACTACCTCTTGAAACGGTTTGAATGACGACTAGTTCTTTTTGGTACTGTGACTCTTGTGTATTGTTAGCATCTCCTTTCGATGCTTCCTCCATCATTCAATATTTGGGCCATTGAATCTTCAATATTACCTTGAAGCTTGAATATTCTTCCTGAATTCTTTCAGTTTAAGATATGCTGAGCGTGTTCTTCCTTTTTAGTTTTCTAACCCTAGGTCTTTGCACATTTCATTACCACATTTTACTTTTTCTTCTCAAGCTGCCCTTTGAGATTTTCTTTTCAGCCCTTTGACTTCTTCAGTTCTTTCATTTGCCTTAACTGATCTACAATTAGAGCAAGTTTCAGAGCTTCTTTGGACATCCACTTTGATTTTTCTTTCTTTCCTGCTGTTTAAGGACCTTTTTCTTTATTCTTATATGATATTCTTGATGCCATCCTACTGTCACATTGTTCAATGGGCCAATCTGTCTTTGAGATGTTCTCGAAATTCAAGTGGATATGCTCAAGGTCATATTTTGGCTTTCATGGATTTATTCTCATTTCTTCAGGTTCAGCTGAACTTACATATGGGCAATTAATGGTCTGTTCCACAGTTGGCTCTGGACCTGGTTGTAGCTGCTCATATTGAGCTTCTCCATTGTCTCTTCCTACAGATGGAGTCTGTTTGATTTCTGTGTTTTCCAACTGGAGACATTCACGTGTATAGTCACCGTTTATGTTGTTGGGGGGAAAAAGCATTTGCTACAATAGACTTGAAAAGTTCTATAATGTGATCTCCAACTTTGTTGCTATCACCAAGGCCATATTTTCCAACTACTGGTCCTACCTTTTTGTTTCCAATGCTTACATTCCTGTCACCAATCGTCATTAATGCATCTTGATTGCATGCTTGATCAGTTTCAGACTGACACATTGGTAGCATTCTTCAATTTCTGCATCACTAACATTAGCTGTTGATGCATAAATTTGAATAAGAGTTGTATTGACTGGATTTCTTGGTTTGGGAATAGATATTGTCCATCACAGACAGAACTGTATTTCAAGATAGATCTGGAAATATCCTTTTTGGTGATGAATGTGACGCCATCCCTCTTGAACCTGTCATTCCTGGCAACGTAAACCATACGATTTTCTGATTCACAATGGCCAATACCAGTAGGCTGCAGCTCACGAACACCTAGAATATCAATCTTTGAGATTTCATTTTTGGCAACGTCCAATTTTCCTGGATTCATATGTTGTACTTTCCAAGTTCCAGTCGGTGATCAATATTTGCAGCTATTTCTTCTCTTTTTGAGTCATACCTCCTCGACCAATGAATGCCCTTTTGCTCCCACAAGCTTCACTCCATCGATGTCATTTCAGTTGACCACACTTGGAGAAGGCAGCTCTTCCACAGTCATATTTTGAGTGCCTTCTGACCTGAGGGACTGCTCTGGCACTAACCCGAACCCAAACCTGCTTCTATCCATGAGGTTGTCGTTGGGGAGTCCTCTCAAGTGCACAGCCCATTCCTTCTTCGTGTCTGTGACATACTGCCCTTCATCCACCACATAGTTGACACCTGAAAACCTCCAGCGCTATTTGTCACACTTATTTGGGGATTGACAGATTCTTCAGTCCAGCTTTTCTGAGTCTCACTGAATTTCCTCTCTCCAGAAATGCAGGCCCTGTGTGTGAGTTTAGCAGTGTTGGGAGTCAGTGCTTGTGCTGCCACCACCACGAGTTCTTCCATCCACCAAAACGAACTCATCCCCACTGTATTCAGGTACAAGAGCTAATGGATCATTTGTCCGGCCTCCAAACAAGGCTTCCCCACCTATCATTTTCTGGGAATACGATTGAGACTCGTCAGGTGCCCAAAGGCATCAATTGTAATTGAAATAATGACAGTTCTTTATAGTCAACAATTATTAAGGCTGGCTTGGTGCATGAGACTGTTCCAGATCCTTTAATGCATCATCTCACTTAATCTTACAAACCAATTTGCAAGATAATGCTATTGTGATCTCTATGTTAATTATGGACAGGAGGGGTTTTAAATTAGTTACAAATGTAATGATTGGAAAGGTAGAAAATAATGACAGCAAATCTCATAACTATGGGCTTCCTGCTAGAATCTTTATATTTATGTATTTAACCATTATATTATCTCCCATAACACAATCAAAATGATTCTATTTGATGAAAACTTGCATATATAGACTTTTCAAGATTGTGTATGTGTGTGTGTGTTGTTATTTGCACTCTAAGGGCGACAGCTGCCGGAATCAATTTAATGGCTGGTTGGTTTGGGGCAGCCCTGGCTCCTCTCTTGATGACCCTAATGGTATATTCAAGCCAGCTACCCTGGATTATCTATGGAATGACCCCCATCCTGGCTAGCTTCATTGTCCTTCTCCTTCCTGAAACCAGGAATCGGCCTCTCCCTGACACCATTGAGGATGTGGAAAATGAGTGAGTTAAACCTCCAACTGTCTGTTCAGGGTACTGTGTGCCATGGGTTTGTGGTGGGAAAGACCAGAGACCATTTGGCACTCTCTACAAGAGTCCCAGGGCGGCACAATTGATTAAGCACTTGACTCTCAACTGAAGGTTTGGTCACTTGAACCCACCGAAAGATACCTTGGATAAAAGGTCTGGCAATCTGCTTCTGGAAGGTCACAGCTGCTCTACTCTGCACACACAGGGTGACCATGAGTTGGTATCAACTCGGTGGCAACTGGTTTGGTGTTTGGTTTGTTCTTTCATGCAGACACAAATCCAGGCATCATGCCCTTGTCATTCAATTCAGTGGGAGCCTCATCCTTAGATACAATGGTGCCAGAACATCCTTTTGATGTTCTCTAGAGAGCACAGA